TGTTTATGAGGGATATTGGTCTGTACTTCTCTTTCTTAGTTGTGTCTTTGTGTGGCTTGGGTACCAAGGTAATTGTAGCCTCATAAAAAGAGTTTGGCAATAACCTTTCTGCTTCTATTGTGTGGAACACTTTGAGGAGAATTGGTATTGGCTGTTTTTTGAATTTCTGGTAGAATTCTGTACTGAAAACATATATCCATGGGCTTTTTTTGGTTGGGAGACTTTTGATGACTGCTTCTGTTTCATTAGGGGTCATAGCTCTATTTATATTTCTTATCTGTTCTTGATTTAATTTTGGTGATATCTTACAGGTTTTCAAACTATGACTTGATTATTCTCTGGATTTCCTCAGTGTCTGTTGTTATGTCCCACTTTTCATTTCTGATTTTGTTAATTTGCATGTTCTTGCTCTGCCTTTTGGTTAGTTTGGATAAAGGTTTGTTTATCATGTTTATTTTCTTGAAGAACCAACTCTTTGTTACGTTGATTCTTTGTATTGTTTTCCTAGTTTCAGCCCTCAATTTGATTATTTTCTGGCATCTACTCCTCTGGGGTGAGTTTGCTTCTTTTTGTTCTAGAGCTTTAAGTTGTGCTGTTAATTCTCTAGTGTGACTATTCTCCAGTTTCTTCATGTGGGCACTTAGTGCTATGAACTTTCCTTTTAGCACTGCTTTCAAAGTGTCCCGTAAGTTGTGTCTTCATTCTCGTTGAATTCTAGGAAGTCTTTAATTTCTCTTTTTATTTCTTCCTTGACCCAGGAATGGTGCAATTGAGCATTGTTCAATTTCCTTGAGTTTGTAGGATTTCTACAGTTTCTGTTGTTGTTGAATTCTAACTTTAAAGCATGGTGGTCTGATAAGATACAGGGGGTTATTCCAATTTTTTGGACCTATTGTGTTTTGCTATATTGCTGAGTATGTGGTCGATTTTAGAGACGGTTCCATGTGCACTGAGAAGAAGGTATATTCTTTTGTGTTTGGATGGAACATTCTATAGATATCCGTTAATCCCAATTGGGTCATAAATTCTATTAGTTCCTTTGTTTCTTTATTAAGTTTCTGTCTGGTGGTCCTATCTAGTGATAAGAGTGGGGTGTTGAAGTCTCCCACTGTTAGTGTGTGAGGTTTTATGTGTGATTTGAGTTTTAGTAATTTTTTTTATGAATTTGTAGATGCCTTTGTATTGGGGGCATAGGCGTTCAGAATTGAGACTTCATCTGGATGGATTTCTCCTGTGATGAATATGAAATTACCTTCATCTCTTTTGATTGATTTTAGTTTAAAGTCTATTTTTTTAGATATTAGGATTGCTACAACCTATTGTTTCTTGGGTTCATTTGATTGAAAAATCTTTTCCCAACCCTTAACTCTGTCTTTGAAGTTGAGATGTGTCTCTTATAGGCAGCAGCAGATTTGGTCTTCGTATCCATTCTGTTAGCCTGTGTCTTTTTATAGGTGAGTTAAGGCCATTAATATTGAGGGATATTAATGACCATTGATTGTTCATTCTTGTTTCGGATTTGTTACTAGTGGTGGTATTGTGAGTGGATTTCCACCCCTTTTTTCTTTTAGCTGTTGGTAAAGTGGGATCATCTATTGCCTATGTTTTTGTAGGTATAGTTAACTTCCTTGGGATGGAGTTTTCCTTCCAGAACTTTCTGTAGGGCTGGATTAGTGGATATGTATTGTTTAAATCTGGTTTTGTCATGGAATATCTTGTTTTCTCCGTCTATGGTGATTGCAAGCTTTGCTGAGTATAATAGTTTGGGCTGGCATCCGTGGTCTCTTAGTGTTGGTAGAATATCTATCTAAGACCTTCTGGCTTTCAGAGTTTCCATGGAGAAGTCAGGTATAATTCTGATCGGTTTGTCTTTATATGTTACTTGGCCTTTTTCCTTTGCTGCTCTTAATATTCTTTCTTTATTCTGCATGTTTGGCGTTTTGATTATTATGTGTCGAGGGGAAGTTTTTTGTGGTCCACCCTATTTGTTGTTCTGTAAGCTTCTTGTACTCTCATTGGCATGTCTTTCTTGAGGTTGGGAAAGTTTTCTTCTATGATTTTGTTGAATATGTTTTCTGCACCTTTGAGGTGGGTTTCTTCACCTTCTTCTATACCTATTATTCTTAGGTTTGGTCTTTTCACGGTGTCCCATATTTCCTGGATATTTTGTGTTAGGGATTTGTTGGACTTAAGATTTTCTTTGGTCGATGAATCTATTTCTCCTAGTGTATCTTCAGCACCTGAGATTCTCTCTTCCATCTCTTGTCTTCTGTTGGTTATTCTTGCATCTGTAGTTCCTGATCGTTTTCCCAGCTTTTCTATTTCCAGCATTCTCTCAGACTGTGTTTTTTTTTTTTAATTGTCTCTATTTCAGCTTTCAAACCTTGCACTGTTTGAATTGTTTCTTGCAAATTTTCGTGTGTCTTTTCCTCCATTTCTTGAAATTTTCATTTGGTTTTTCTTCCATTTCTTTAAGGGATTTTCTCGTTACCTCTTTGAGGTTTTCTATCATCTTCATAATGTTGTTTTTAGGGTCGTCCTCTTCTGCTTCATCTGTGTTGGGATGTTCAGGTCTTACTGGCATAGAGTCCGTAGACTATGGTGGCATCATATTGATCTTTCTGTTGTTAACTGTGGTCTTATACTGTCATCTTCCCATCCCTTCTTCCAGTGGGTGCAGAAGGAGTCTCCCCCTCTCCTGGTAGGTACGGGACCAAGGTTCTCTTCCGGTGGGTGCAAGCAGGTCCAATACTCTGATGGCTTGCCTCCTCCTGTGGGTGGAGGCAGGACTAGCACTTCAACACTGGCAGACCCTGGATGGGCTGGTCCACCAGGATGGGATTCCCCAGGTGCAGTCCCCAGGCCTCAGGACTAGCAACTTGACACTGGCAGACTCTGGATAGGTTGGTCTGCAGGGAAGGGTTCCTGCCTTTATATTTCTTACAAGTTTTAACTGAAAACAAAAGAACTTCTCTTTTTTTACTTTTCACTTTTCTGTTTGTAGCTCTCCTTTCTATTTTCCAACTTTATTAGTTTTCTATTTATTTGTGTGTGTGTGTGTGTGTGTGTGTGTGTGTGTGTGTGTGTGTGTGTGTATGTATACACATTGTATGGTGTACTTGTGGAAGTCAGAGGACAGCTCAAAGGAGTTAGTTTTCTCCTTTGACCACGTGAGTACCGAGGATCAAATTTAGGTCATCAGACTTAATGGCAAGCATCTTTACCCACAAATGTCACACTGGCCAGTCATTTCTCCTTTTATTGTTGGCATCTTCTGCATGCTGCCTGGACATTTCCTTTAGGGGATCACAGAGTTCATTTGGTATATTTTCTGCTTCCCATACTGCAGGTGATATTTTTGTTGCACTTTCTCCCCCTATATAACAAAGGTCTCCTTTGCCTACAATTCTTGAATGTTTCCCTGGCTTTCCCAAAAGCCCTCACTGACAGCCACCCCAACTATGTAAGATTTCAGCTCTTTCATTCTTTGCCTGCAATCTGATCTCAAAGACGATGCCATGTGCTTTAATTTTTTTTATTATAGCAACCCCTCATTTGCAGATACCAAAATTCACTTTGGCTATTATTACTGTGTGAAAAATTGTCTCCAAGTGTGCTGGCTTAAACCACCATTTTATTTTACTGGCAATTTGGAGCTTCAAAAATTTGAAAAGGGCTCAGCTGAGCCTCTCTTTGTTGAGGTCACTCATGCAGCAGAGGCAAGATGTCAGCTGGGGCTGCAAATATCAGCTGAGTTGATGGGACTGGCTGTGGGAGATGGCTCACTCCTATAGTCAGGATTTGATGCTGGCTGTCAGCTATGAGCTCGGCTGGCCTGTCCATCACTATGCCAGTGTGCAGACTCTGTGGCTAGGCAGTCTCAGGACAGTTGGCCTTCTTCAGCAGTGCTGATACCTTTTAGAACTAAGGTCCCAAAATAATAGACTGAAACTTGGTGGCGTTATCTGGCCTGCATTTGAAACTTAAACATCTCTTAGCTGTGTGGTATTGGTTTTAGAATGGTCACCAAGTCATCCCAGCTTCATGGGTAGGGGACATAAATACCACTTCTCAGGAATGTATACAACCAAGGTTAAGGAGAGTAAGCAGAGCAGAATCTTATATATCCTGTGTTGAAATGATAGATACTGATTAGAAGATGGGGAACAATAGGCGGAAGTACAAAAAATGTAATTATTCTGTTGTTGTAGATGATTTTCTCTGCTTGTTTTATAATTTAAAAAAAAAGACAAGATGTAAGAAAATGCATGCCTTAGGGATTCTTTGTTTCTGATTTATCACCCAGGCTCCATTTTCTGTGTTATCTTTAGTGTAACTGTGAGAATCCTTTCAAGCTGGCTTTGGGGACTCAACTTTGGGGGTGCCATGAAGCACTGAGAATTCAACTGTTGGGATATGGAGGCAGCTCTGGCCCTAGTGGGGATGGATTGCACTTTGGACTGTGGGCTATGGCACAACACTTCAAGGACCATCTCCTTCAGGGTCAGGAAAAAACCTAAAGGTGAAATCTACTTCCTTGCAGGATCAGAACCTCCAAAGCATCCCCACACTCTGCTGCCCTCCAGTCCTGTCTGCTCTAGGAAACAATTAACGGGAGAAATAGGTCAAACAATAAAACTGGACAGGGGACCAACCTGTCTGAACAGAATGTGCTTACATTCAGCCCCTGAGGCAACAAGGAGTCAAAGCCAGCTATGTGTGTCATTATATATGCCAACCCTCACCTACTTTGCTCTCCATACTGTGACATCCAGAGTGCTTTATTGACCTGTTTTTACTCACATAGCAGGCCTTGGGCAGCAACACAGAACAGAGGCCTATCATGGGCCACATTGTGGCCCTATGTTCACATATTGAAACCCTCATCCTAATGTGACTTATTTGAAGACAATGCATTTTCAGAGGTCATTCAGGTTAAGTGTGCTTATATGCCTGGGACCTTATCTAATAACCTTGGCATTGCTGTGAGATGAGGAAGACAGCAGACTCTGATACCAGCCAGGTCCCTTCCTTGTAGGGGCCCAGAGTGCAACAGCTGCAAACAGCAGCCTTCTCAGCAGTGTCTTCATCCTGTTACTTGTGCAGGTTGTCCCAAGTGACCTTGGAGACGGCCCTTTCCAGTGGATGTTCACATATCTGATCACATGCTGGTTCTAATCCAAGCTCTGGCAGGTATGTGGGATGCCTCTGGGAAGCCCCAGCGTACAGTGGCCTCATCACATCCACCCAGAACAAGTCACTGAAGAAGGAGCGTGTGACTGAGGCTCTGACGGGACCTGTATCAAGTTTCTCATCTCAAAGTGGAGTTTCACCAAGGATGTATATGAAGCACTGGGGAGGCAGGAGAACAGTTAAAAACAAAAGAGACAGCCAAAACATCTGTCTGGCAGACCCCCTTGGTGCACACATGGAGGAAAGGCCATGTGAGGACACTGTCCATTGGCATGTCCTCAGCAGGTACTTAGTATATCCTTTGCCTTCTAGCACAAGCCATTATATGTCATTTAATTCTTGCCTTTGGACATAGTATATCCTTTGCCTTCTAGCACAAGCCATTATATGTCATTTAATTCTTTCTTGCCCATGGCAGGCAGACTGGTGATCCTCTCTGATAAAGGTAACTACCTTGTAAACCTCCAGACCTGTGAGTGTGTTGACGGTATTCAGTTTGTACAGGACTGCCTTCCATGAGTACCGAGAAGAAAGTTTCTGAAAAGACACCTTTGTATTCTTGCCCATTGAAGGAAGCATTGAAAAGACTCATAATTGAAAATTAAGATTTGTTTCTTGGGTGAAAACAGCATGCTTCTCTCTGTCTCTGCACAGAAGAGATAAGCAGGAGTGGTCCAGCGTTGCCATGGGTGGATTCAAAGTGGACAGGAGAGGAATTCCTGGATGTCTGCAGTGAGGCACACACAGGAGCTGAGGGAATGACGATACTATGTGTTCTTTGGTCTCCAAGGGTCTGCCACAGGGATTGATTCTCACCAACACGGAGAGCCAAAGAGATTACTTAGAATACGTAAAAGCATTTCTTTGGCACTGGCAAGCAAATCAGAAAGCTGATTTATTGACTCAACTGGTAGTTAGTAGGTCTGTGTTTTAATTAATTTTTACGTGGATACTTAAAATAGAGTCCTTTATGAATTTGTGTGTGCCATCCTAGGGGGTGGCCATGCTGATGGTATCTGTATTCCAGGTTAATACAGATGTGCCACCAAAGGACTATAATGGTTAGATTTAAAAGGAAGAGAGAAAAATGACCCAGAAAGGATGAATCTGATTTAACAATACCCCCAAACAAAAGAGATGACATCCAAAAGAAAAAGGCATCAGGGAAGCTGGAAGTCTTGAGAAACACACTGAGTGGTTTAGGCCATCGTATCTGTGCTTGCTGACTTTCTGTTCCACGTGTACACAATGGCAACAGAGAGCTACAATTGGACAGCCTGAACACACTCTTGCTGGCCTGAAGCTGATTCTAGACACTGTATATCGGACAGCAAAGTAACTAAGAGAGTGCCAAAGGATTGCACTAAGGGCCATTCCTCCAGGCTTCTTGCTGACTGACTTGTTTCCTGTGTGTGATGGCTGGCCTTGGTTGTCAACTCAGACTGGGGTTCAGAGATGTTTAGAGTGGTTGAACTTGAGTGTTTGTGGGGATTGACATGTGTGATGGAATGAGAAAGGCCCCCTTAGCCTGGGGTTCACCCCAGTTGGTGAAACTGTTTGGGAAGGATTAGAAGATATGAACTTGTTGGAGGAGGTATGCCACTGGGGGCTGGCTTTGAGGTCTGTGCCATTCTTACTCTTTCTCTCCCTTTCCCTCCCTCCGCCCCTCCCTCCCCCTCCCTCTCTTGCTTGTGCACCAAGATGCAAGCTCCCAGCTACTGCTCCAGTGCCATGCCAGCCTGCCTGATGCCACGCCCCCTGACATAATGGACATGGATTCTAGCCCTTGGAAACTGTAAGCCTCAGAGAAACTCTTCCTGTTGTAAGTTGCCTTGATCATGTGTCTTATCACAGCAATAGAAAAAGAACTAAGATAACACACAAGACAGAGCAAGGGAAGAGATCTGCCCTGAGCAAGGGTGAAAGGCAATGTGGGCACATGTGGGCACATGGGACAGTCCCCTTTCCTTCTGTGCATGCCTACAGCAGCTGCCATTGTCCACAGACCTTAAACCCCAGCTCCTTTGGCTTTTCAACATGGATGCAATACCAGGACCTCTCCAGGGAGCTTCTGAGGTTTTCAGCACTGCATTAGAACTGCGGAGGCAGATGGCTTCTTAGATTGAGGAGCTTCTGAGGTTTTTCAGCACTGCATTAGAACTGCGGAGGCAGATGGCTTCTTAGATTGAGTAGCTACAGGGATCTCCATGTCTCCAGCATACACAGTTATTGTTGTTCTATTCATCATCCTGTCACATAAACCAACACAACAAATCCCCTTTTGTAATATACATATGCATTTTCTTGGTCTTCTCTTCCAAAGAGCCCTGTCTTTGGAACATGAGAGTAGCCAAGGCCCTTTGAGCTTAGATTTGTGCTTAACTCATAAGTTCCACATGCCTTTTGCTGTTTTTCAGTGTCAGAACCTTCAAGAATCTCTGAGACATGCTTTGTGTAATGATTAACAGCTGGGGTTTTTATTTAATTGTAATAAGACTTTGGAATTTTGAAGTTCTGCATGCTGAGGTAAACTATCACCTTTCTAGGGCTCAACGGGACTAACCACACACCCTTGTGGTAAGTGGGGCTCAGGACTCATCTACATTGAAGCCAGGTCTGGGTCTCACTGAATTGATGTCCTGATTTCTGATCCCTTGTAGAAATAGGGAATATTGACACACCTATGTTTTTGAATTAAATGGTTATAAGGAGACAGTAGTCCTTTTTTGGAGCTTAGGCAGATTTCGGGAGTCTATTCATAACAGAGTGCCAGGTGAACAGGTCCAGGAGACACAACCTGAGCTTTTGAGGGCTGTCAGGATAGAAGTAGCCGGCTGTCCTGAGAAAGGGCTGGGAATGTTGTCTCTCTGTGACTGTTTAACTTGAAGGAACACACGTGTGAAGATCACTCACTATGTAATGGCTTAGAGCCCATCCAAAATGGTGTAGCTGGCTCTGGTGCTGAAGCTGAATCCCTTTGCTGATGACCTGGGAAATCTCCACAGTCCTTTCATAATAGAGAGAAGCAGAAGGTGGCTGTTCATCATTTTTCCAATATACCCTGGATTCTATCAAATGTGATAAAACTCTTTTTGCTACCAATCTTTCTGAATTCTGAGTCTTGCAGCTGAGGCTTAGTCAAGGCAACAGAGGGAATCACTTTGAATGGCCTACTGTATTGGGAATTGGTGTTTTAGCTTCTAGATCCTGGGAATGTCTGTAAAGTTCACAAGGTGCATAAAGGGCTGGTGACAGCAAGATAGGCTTATGTCAATGAGTATTTACCAAGCAGTATTGAGTATTTACCAAGTAGTACAGAAATATGCCAATGTATTCCCAAGAAGAGTACCTGGGTGTATGCTGGTCTTCCCTGTACACACCACACCTGCAGTTTGCACAGGTCCTCCCCAGGCTCTTGTCACTCCTGACAGAATTTAAAAAGAGAACTGTAGCTGGGATGGTGATAGAAGAGTGACGTGCTTTAATACAGGGTATCTGTATGTCTCCATGCTGGGACAGCTTGGCCCACATGCCTGCTACACGAACAGAGAAGCCAGGAGAAGAGAACCCACATGTTTGGCCCTTCTCCTTGCATCTGTCAATGAGACAAGTCTACACACCATGCTTCCTGTTTTAACGACATGATCTGCCTTCCCCCAAAATAAAAGATTAACTCATTTTTAACTGCAACCCTCCTGCTTCTGGGCTAGTTTAAATGTGAGTTTATTCGTAGATGAAAAAAAAAGAAAATATTTTCATAAACACTTCCATTCACAGTTTCCACAAACTCTCCTCACAGCAAACTGAAGCTAAGTCTCCCTCAGATTCTCAGCAGCCGCAGATTCTACAGATAGCTACTTCCACATCTTCAGAGTGGCTTCGATAGAACCCATGAATTCTGAGAACCAGAATGTCACACATGGTCACAGGTTCAGGGTGAATCTTCAGATCTTCTTTGTTGTCGCTATGACCTGGATCTTCTTACCAGGCTAAGAACTTCTAGTGCATAGTGGGATGGTATCATGGTTAGTCTTGCTCATCACCTTGATCGGATTGAGAATCACCATGCAGGCAATCTTCTAGTCATGTCTGTGACGAAGTTTCTAGATTTGGTGGAGATGAAAAGACCCACACTATCTGTAAGTGGCATCCTTCCCTGAGTTGAATCCTAGGATGAATGAAAATGAAAAGATGAGTTGAGCATGAGCATTCGTTTCTCTCTACTTTCTGAATGTGGGCACAGTGTGACCAGTTGTCTCACTCTGTCACCATGGCTTCCCAGCCATGATGGATTTTATCCTCAAAACCCTTCTATCCTTAAGTTGTCTTTGTTAGTCATCTTGCCCCAACAGTAAGAAAAGTAACTGATAGAGATGATCTTCAGTTCTTCTCCTGTGGTTTAAAATTAAACTCTTGAGGAAAGACGGTCAGTGTGATAGACCACAGCATAGAACTAATGGGTTCTAAAGTCAGTTCTACTGTTTAGTGTGGAAAGTAAATCCCATTGCAAAGAACATGGAGAGCCATTTTACAGAACTCACTGCCAGTGGAAGGGGGGTCGGGAGGCTGCTCTTGGTGTTTTCAATAATGCATAGGTGCTTTTCAAGAAAAGCCAGGAAGATGCTCGCTGACAATCTCTTTAAAGTCTGAATTTGGATACCAGAGTTCTTCAAGAGGGTGAATAAAATTAGATTTTCCTTTTTCTCATTAAAATTATATTACATTTATTTATTTATGTGTTCATTCATTTATTTAGTGTTTGTCTGTGTGTCATGGTTTATGTATGGTGGTCAGAGGACAACATAAAGGAGTCAACACTCTCCTTCTACCTTGTGGGTCCTTGTGAGGATCAAGCTTGTGTCTTCAGGCTTGGTAACTGGCCCCTTTTTCTGCTGAACTGTCTTGCAGGCCCAGATTTTTTAAAGGAATTTAGTCACAATT